ACAGCACTGTCCTACAGCCCTGAAACCCCAGGTTGCCCCGGATCTCAGGAACACGGGTGTTCCACCGCCGAAATCTGGAAGACCTTAAAGTCTGGACCCATCTGCTTGGTTATCCACGTGTCCGACGCACACATCTTGCAGAGTCACATGGCCCAAATCCCAAACATTAAGGACGCTGGGACTTTGTCCTCCGCATCTGAGGACGCTCAACTCTTAAACCGCCAGCTCTTGGGCTGAGGGGTCCCCTCCCCTCCCCCAGCCATCAGGTCTCAGGTGTTCTGTCACCCCCGGTACTGCCAGCCTGGGCCCTGGGCAGGGCTGGGAAAACCACCCCTGATTAAATATACAGGCGATAAGCCTGGGGCAAGGGAGACGCTGGATGGAGCTCCAGGCCTGGGCACCCATCCCTGGCAATCTTGTGGCCTCCCCTGCCCCAGCTCTGTAGACCCAAGCACTGGGTGGTTCCCCCTCCCCCATCCCCAGGGCGAGAGGCCTCCAGATGCCAGGGTCCCCAGTGAGGGCTAAAGAGCTATGGAGGACGCCTGGTCCTTTAAGAACAGCTGGTAGGGGGGTGGGCAGGGGAGTCACCCCCAGCCTGGCTGGTGTGTGTATTCTAGATAGAGGTTGAGTTAACCATTAACGGAGCAGACGGCCTGACCTGTGTGGGTGTGGGGGGCTGAATCAGTCCCCCTTCCCCCAGTGCCAGGGTGGGGCCAGAGTGGAGGGATTCTGGATGTATTGGGGGGATCCGTGAGTAGGTGAAGAGACTTCCAGAAAGGAGACACAGACCCAGGGAAAGATGGGAGACAACAGAGGTGGAAAGGTATAGAAAAACCAGCTCACTGGAAGAGGACAGACCCAGAGGGGGACAAGAGAGCTCAAAGACCCTCTTGAGATGGAGGAAACGAGGTAAAAACAGAGGGACAGACAGACGTTCAGAAGAGAGATATACCCAGATAGGTGCAGAGAGCCTGAGATACACAGATGAGACACCAAGAATAGAGACCTAGAAGGAGGGAGAGAGCATTTGAAAGCAGGAGAAAGGGGAGACTGTGGAATCAAGGAAAGGTTCCAGTTTAAATTATTTTTTTTTTCCAACGTTTATTTATTTTTTGGGACAGAGAGAGACAGAGCATGAACGGGCGAGGGGCAGAGAGAGAGGGAGACACAGAATCGGAAACAGGCTCCAGGCTCCGAGCCATCAGCCCAGAGCCCGACGCGGGGCTCGAACTCACGAACCGCGAGATCGTGACCTGGCTGAAGTCGGACGCTTAACCGACTGCGCCACCCAGGCGCCCCGGAAAGGTTCCAGTTTAAACTAGAGAGTTAAGACATCTTGAAACGCAAGTTCTGTGAAGACAGATCGCTTCTCGGCCTTCTGGCTGAGATCAAGTGAAGTTCTACGAGGCAGAGGGAGAGAACGGAGATCTGTGAAGACGAGCGAGGCTGGGTCTGTCTCGATCAGTTGGTCCCCACGACAAGGCCTGGCTCACTCCTACTCATCCCTCAGGTCTCTGCTCAGCTACCACCTCCTCCAGGAAGCCCTCCTTGGCCCCCAAGCTGTGTCAAGTGCCATTTCTGGGCTCTCCCAGACCCTGCACTCCCCTATCCCGGCCCTGCACATTCTGGATCGTCATTGGGAAATCGACTGTCGGCCCCCTGAGGGCAGGGTTGAAGCCGTCTCAGTCACCACTATGAACCCAGCATTGCCTAGCACAGGGCTAGTTTAAAGGACGGATAGGGAACAGCAGGGAACAGAATGCAGCCCCTACTCTCATGGAGCTGACGTTCATGTAAGAGGTACAGACAGACCCATAAAATGTGACAGCCATGGAGCAGTGAGTCCTAAGAAGAAAAAAGAAACCAGGGGAAGGGGATAGAGAGTGATGGAGGTTGCTGCCATAAAGGAGGAGGTAGAGAAGGGCTCACTGAGGAGATGACACTAAATTGAAGGAAGCGAGGGAGCAAGCCGGGGGAAATCTAGGGGGATAGCACATGCAAAGGTCCCGAGGCAGGAGTCTGCTTGGTTTGTTCCAGAAGCAGCCAGGTGGCCAGGGCAGCCATGGCAAAGGGGAGAGTTAGGAGAATGAGGTCAGAGTGGGGCGCGTGACTGGCTCAGTCAGTAAAGCATGTGACTCTTGATCTCGGGGTTGTAACTTCGAGCCCCCACGTTGGGCATAGAGATAACTTAAAAACAAGATCTTAACGGGGTGCCTGGGTGGCTCAGTTGGTTAAGCATCCGGCTGGGGCTCAGGTCATGATCTCGAGGTCTGTGAGTTCGATCCCTGTGTCGGGCTCTGTGCTGACAGCTCAGAGCCTGGAGCCAGTTTCCAATTCTGTGTCTCCATCTTGCTCTGCCCCTCCCCCACTCGTGCTCTGTCTCTCTTGCTCTCAAAAATAAATAAAACATAAAAAAAAATTTTTAATTAAAAAAATAAGATCTTAACCAAGAAAAAGAAGAAGAATGGGGTCACAGGGATACCAGGGAAGCATCGGCCACGGTAAGGACTTTGGGTTATATTTTCATGGGAAGGGAAAGAGCGCTGAGTGAAGAGATAGCAGCCGTGAGACAGTAATTGCAAAGAATCAGCTGGGATGGACGGCATCTCATTTATCTGTGTCTGGGGCTCAACAGAGGGCCTAGTAC